TGATATTCCAAGAAACAATGTTGTGTCTTGCCTATCTTAAGGAAGGAAGTGATGGTTGGAACAATTTGTGTTCATTACAAGAAGGTGCTCTTAAGCAATTTATTTGTGTTATAGGTCCTTTAAATCTTATAAATTTGCTTCTGTTGTAAGATTGAATTGTTTGACATTATTTGGAATGTCTTCAAATTCACATTAGCATTTGCTTTATTTCTTCAAATTTGTGCCATCTTGTATAGCTGCATGTTTAGACAAGACACACTCAATTAATCAGTTCTTATGTTTTTCTACATAAATAAATTGATATTACTTTATGTTTCAATTGTTTCCACACAATCTGATGAATGATCATTTGATGCTCACTTTATTTCCTCCCTCTGTCTTGATTGATCCTCATTGCCTGTTAATCTATGTTTTGATTTTTTTACATTCTTGTTTTTTTCTTATTTTCCTTTACCTTTGACAGGCTGGTCCTCATCCATGGGCTATTGAGAGCTTTGCTATGGTAGCAAAGTACCCGTCTGCCCAAATCATGGCGCAGGTCTGTAATATTTTTTAACAACATCAAACTGTAGAGTACTTAGCCTTTTATAATTCTTAATAGTAAATATTCTCTAACAAATGGCAGAACTTACATTTGACGTAAGTTTAGTGCTGCAGGATCTCTTTTCTTCTGGGGCCATAAAATCTGCAACAGATTTCCAAGTGTACAAGGAGGTAGCAGGTCTTTCTGGGCTTGACTTTGCATATTCGGATAACACTGCCGTATATCACACAAAGGTATTTTTTACCTTCATCTGATTTTTGAATATCTAGTTTCTATATCCTACTGGGGATGATGTAGTTTTTGCATTTAACTTTTGTCAAAGTACTCACTCATCTGAAGACAAGTCATTGTCATCAAAGTTTTGGTTGGTTGTAAATCCAATAATTTAAGTGGGCCTAGGATTGGAGCCCTCCAGTATACGGTGCAATCATATCCTGTGTATGCAGCATGCTATATTTTGGTGCATCAGTAGATGTGCTGCAGCCTGGGGTGGCATGGTATGGATAGAAGTGTGGAAGAACACCAGCATTGGGCATGGTGGCCCAGATGGTTGTTCAGCATTCCACGACGACTCCCATCATGGCAGACATAATGTTCCCTACGCAATATATTTGTGGGTTTTGGACAAAAGCACCTATTCACGATTTAAGAATATTGGTCGTATTATTTTTGTCATAATTGGCACAGCATTTTTAGTATTCTGTGTTAGATGGGAACCCATTCCCCCTTGTGTGGATGACATGGGGCAATCTAGCAAAGGTTATAATGGGGCGAAAAGCGATTTGGATTTAAAATCCTTTATTTAAGATAATTGTTTGTTCCTCATTTAAAGCTGGAAAGCAATTGGAATCTTTTATGCAGTTGAAATTGGACTGGTAGAATGATTTAGACTTGGCATTCGGCCATGTGATAATGTTGTGTGGCCTTAATAATGTCAGTAATGTGGTTTTTTTAACAAGTTTTAAGTACTTTCCTTGTGCAGAATGACAAATTAAAGCTTTTGAAATCGGGTTCCCTTCAGCATCTTGGAGAAAATATGCTGGCCTTTTTGCTTCAGGCTGCTGCTTCCTCTCATCTTCCTACAAGCGAGGCTATGGAAGCAGATGAAAAATCAGACCAGGACACTGTTATATATTTTGACATTTTGGTACCTTTATGAACTGAAACTATCAATTTCTCTGGCTATAACTTTTTTTTTCTCTCTTTTTGCAATGATAATGCTGGGAATTCTGTCACCTTGGAGTCAATTTTGCCTGGGTTTGTCATTTTCTAATGCACCTTTAATGCAATTCTCAGGGCACACACATGATTGTATTCCGTCAACGATTTGCCAGTATGCTGTACAATTCAGTGATAATGCAATCTCTCTTGATATGGGCTACATCACTACTGATGGGTGGTTATTCATCTGCTATATCATTGGGCTTATCATTTTTGGGTGTAATCCTCATGTGGATATGTTCATTAAGTTTCTCCGCTCTGGTTGCCTTTATTCTACCTCTTGTATCTTGGTCTCCAGTGCCCTATGTTTCAAGCCCATGGCTCGTAGTTGGTTTATTTGCGGCACCTGCTCTCCTTGGGGCATTCATTGGCCAACATGCAGGTTATCTCATTCTTGAAACATATTTGTTACGTGTATTTTCCAAAAGAAAGGGGAACCTGTCGCCTGTCCTTCAAGCTGCTTGGGCAAAGTTGGATGCCGAAAGATGGCTCTTTAAAGCTGGTTTACTGCAGTGGCTTATTCTTTTGATGGTGGGAAATTATTATAAGATTGGATCCGCTTATGTTGCCCTTGCTTGGCTAGTCTCACCTGCATTTGCATGTAAGTTAACATAGTTATTCTAGCCTAAGGGTGCCTGGACAGAACTTAATCTGAGGCGCTATGTGTGCTCCATTTATATATATTTTAGATACTTGCCTCATTATGTTCAGCATTTTTTAGCAATTGGTTGTGTTGAGCTCTGCCTTTTTGCCATAAGTGTGACAATGGTACAAATCTGTTGATCCTCTGGTGTGGAGGTCAAATCTTCGGAAGAAAGAATTTGACCTCCACACCAGAGGATCAACAGATTTGTACCATTGTCACACTTATGGCAAAAAGGCAGAGCTCAACACAACCAATTGCTAAAAAATGCTGAACATAATGAGGCAAGTATCTAAAATATATATAAATGGAGCACACATAGCGCCTCAGATTAAGTTCTGTCCAGGCACCCTTAGGCTAGAATAACTATGTTAACTTACATGCAAATGCAGGTGAGACTAGCCAAGCAAGGGCAACATAAGCGGATCCAATCTTATAATAATTTCCCACCATCAAAAGAATAAGCCACTGCAGTAAACCAGCTTTAAAGAGCCATCTTTCGGCATCCAACTTTGCCCAAGCAGCTTGAAGGACAGGCGACAGGTTCCCCTTTCTTTTGGAAAATACACGTAACAAATATGTTTCAAGAATGAGATAACCTGCATGTTGGCCAATGAATGCCCCAAGGAGAGCAGGTGCCGCAAATAAACCAACTACGAGCCATGGGCTTGAAACATAGGGCACTGGAGACCAAGATACAAGAGGTAGAATAAAGGCAACCAGAGCGGAGAAACTTAATGAACATATCCACATGAGGATTACACCCAAAAATGATAAGCCCAATGATATAGCAGATGAATAACCACCCATCAGTAGTGATGTAGCCCATATCAAGAGAGATTGCATTATCACTGAATTGTACAGCATACTGGCAAATCGTTGACGGAATACAATCATGTGTGTGCCCTGAGAATTGCATTAAAGGTGCATTAGAAAATGACAAACCCAGGCAAAATTGACTCCAAGGTGACAGAATTCCCAGCATTATCATTGCAAAAAGAGAGAAAAAAAAAGTTATAGCCAGAGAAATTGATAGTTTCAGTTCATAAAGGTACCAAAATGTCAAAATATATAACAGTGTCCTGGTCTGATTTTTCATCTGCTTCCATAGCCTCGCTTGTAGGAAGATGAGAGGAAGCAGCAGCCTGAAGCAAAAAGGCCAGCATATTTTCTCCAAGATGCTGAAGGGAACCCGATTTCAAAAGCTTTAATTTGTCATTCTGCACAAGGAAAGTACTTAAAACTTGTTAAAAAAACCACATTACTGACATTATTAAGGCCACACAACATTATCACATGGCCGAATGCCAAGTCTAAATCATTCTACCAGTCCAATTTCAACTGCATAAAAGATTCCAATTGCTTTCCAGCTTTAAATGAGGAACAAACAATTATCTTAAATAAAGGATTTTAAATCCAAATCGCTTTTCGCCCCATTATAACCTTTGCTAGATTGCCCCATGTCATCCACACAAGGGGGAATGGGTTCCCATCTAACACAGAATACTAAAATGCTGTGCCAATTATGACAAAAATAATACGACCAATATTCTTAAATCGTGAATAGGTGCTTTTGTCCAAAACCCACAAATATATTGCGTAGGGAACATTATGTCTGCCATGATGGGAGTCGTCGTGGAATGCTGAACAACCATCTGGGCCACCATGCCCAATGCTGGTGTTCTTCCACACTTCTATCCATACCATGCCACCCCAGGCTGCAGCACATCTACTGATGCACCAAAATATAGCATGCTGCATACACAGGATATGATTGCACCGTATACTGGAGGGCTCCAATCCTAGGCCCACTTAAATTATTGGATTTACAACCAACCAAAACTTTGATGACAATGACTTGTCTTCAGATGAGTGAGTACTTTGACAAAAGTTAAATGCAAAAACTACATCATCCCCAGTAGGATATAGAAACTAGATATTCAAAATCAGATGAAGGTAAAAAATACCTTTGTGTGATATACGGCAGTGTTATCCGAATATGCAAAGTCAAGCCCAGAAAGACCTGCTACCTCCTTGTACACTTGGAAATCTGTTGCAGATTTTATGGCCCCAGAAGAAAAGAGATCCTGCAGCACTAAACTTACGTCAAATGTAAGTTCTGCCATTTGTTAGAGAATATTTACTATTAAGAATTATAAAAGGCTAAGTACTCTACAGTTTGATGTTGTTAAAAAATATTACAGACCTGCGCCATGATTTGGGCAGACGGGTACTTTGCTACCATAGCAAAGCTCTCAATAGCCCATGGATGAGGACCAGCCTGTCAAAGGTAAAGGAAAATAAGAAAAAACAAGAATGTAAAAAATCAAAACATAGATTAACAGGCAATGAGGATCAATCAAGACAGAGGGAGGAAATAAAGTGAGCATCAAATGATCATTCATCAGATTGTGTGGAAACAATTGAAACATAAAGTAATATCAATTTATTTATGTAGAAAAACATAAGAACTGATTAATTGAGTGTGTCTTGTCTAAACATGCAGCTATACAAGATGGCACAAATTTGAAGAAATAAAGCAAATGCTAATGTGAATTTGAAGACATTCCAAATAATGTCAAACAATTCAATCTTACAACAGAAGCAAATTTATAAGATTTAAAGGACCTATAACACAAATAAATTGCTTAAGAGCACCTTCTTGTAATGAACACAAATTGTTCCAACCATCACTTCCTTCCTTAAGATAGGCAAGACACAACATTGTT